ACAATCTAAAATAAAAAGGCAATCTTAAATAAAAAAGCAACACGTCTAAAAATATTTGAAACAGCTGCTAACTCATGGTCTGAATCGCCACTTATGTAGGAACCAGCGAATCCTGTGATCACTTAAGGGTAAACCGACAGTTCTGTTGTTGGGGCAGTATTCGGTTGGCAAAACATCGATGATATCGTATCTGTTGAATGGTAATTATCCGGGCGCAGATATTGGCCCTGAGCCAACAACAGATATTTTTGCTCATGTCGACTACAGTGAAAAAACGCAGACAGTATCAGGAGTGACGTTGGCTTCTGACAATACCTATCAGTTTCAGGTAATATTCAGTACAGTGCATCACTTTCGGACCAAATTTTTTCGATAAATGAAGTTAAAGTATATTTTAAAAGGCGTGAGGAAGAATGGTCTTTCTTTTCGGTCGCTTTTGCCAGGCCCAGAATTTTTATCTGAAATACTCTACTCCTAACAAACTAGAGTGAAAATCGCGCATTTATCTGAAAGCTCCGTTTTGAAAATTCCTCGAAATTTAGCATACTTTGCAAAAGCCCATCATCACTTAATACGATTCCTGGCGCTTTAGCAACAGTTTTTCAAAAAAATTATATCAAATTATGTCAAAGATTATCAAAAATTACATCTCACAAATTAACACTCCCGTATTAGAAATACCATTTGCACAGATCCTGATTCATACCTCTCATTTTGGGAAACATACAACGGACTAGAAGATGACGAAGTGCGACACGCTACAAATCCGCGGTTGTTCTGAGCGTGTCGGTAAGGCGCTGTGCTAAATGATGTTGTCAGAAGGTCGTGGTACTTGCACTGGAAATAATGTGGTTTAGCGCACCAGACTCTTATAGAATTTTGGCTTTTTTGTGAAAGATAATTCGAGTGCATGACAGTGTTTTTCGAGCAAATAAAAAAATTTTTACGAGAGTTTAGAATTGGAAAAAATTAAAACGAAGCACTGCTGTTTGAAAAGTGCGTCATAATCAGATAATTTTGCTCTATGGCCAAGCTTTGATTGTCGTAGCATTTGTCGTTTAACACCCCAATACAGCAGCAAAATGTTAGCAACTGATAAGTTTAGCTTTTTTTAGTCGCTGAGCATGTTTGGTGATGTATTTCTAAACAAGTTGAGGGCTACGCGCTTCAAGTCACCGCTGCTGAAGTATGTATCAATAATTGACACTCCAGGAATCCTGACCGGCGATAAACAAGTCTTTTTTTTGGAACTGATATTCTGTTGTTTATTAATTTGCGGCATAATTTCACAACACTGCGAATACTTGCAGCCTTAATTTAGCAGAGTTAACATGAGCATTCATTAAGAATTTGATCAGTCCAAAATTCGAAGTGGCCATTTGAAGAGATGAACGGGTTTCATTTTCAACAGTCACTTGTTAAGCTCGCTACCGAAAATTCAGAACTGCTCTGATACTTACATTTTTGCACTGACGTTCCACTAAAAAATCCAGGCTGCAAATTACCAAGCTTGTCGGTGTGATCATGCGCTTTTGAGCTTAACATACAGACGGCCAAAGCAGTAATGATTCCTGTGCTGTAGCCTAACATTTGGACTCATAGTGGTTATGTTTTGGCACCTTTCGGCATACAGGGGGAAAGGGTGTCGGTTGAGATGAGAGTGTTGCATTATAAGACAGCTTGAATCTCCAGGAACATGATCATCAGTTTTTTGCACGAAACCCGATCGTTCTACCGGCAGATGCTGGAAAAACGATCAGGTTTCATGCAAAAAATCAATTTGAAAGAAATGCAAATTTGAAAAAAATCTGAAGAGGATTATGAAGTCAGCAAAATGT